TTCATATTGCAAGAGCTTTGGATGGGCTAGATATGGAAAAATTTTGGCCATTTATAAAAGGATCGACAGCAAGAGGACACCAATCTAACTTAATTGATTAAAAGAAGCAATAGCAAGATCAGGACAAACATCTTCATGCAATGACTGGCTAGAATTTGTAATGAGCTGTCAGACTGCATGGTTGGAGCAGTTTCAATCAAGGCATTTAAAAATGCCATTACCGGGGTCTGATGGCCTAGTGGTATTATCACGGGACTGTTAGTCAAGACACCAAGATAACGTTCTTGAGACTAGTTTCGGTGGAATTTGAATTCAAAATTTGACAGTCTAACGATGACCGTGAATCCATTGTCGATTGTAGGAAAAACCCCTATGGTTCACATATGTCCTTTAACGACACCCTCATCCTGCGAATGAATTCTTAAAAATTACCTGAAAAACAGCAACGCACACAGCTATGGAGAGAAGATGGGAGAATGGAGCAAGGTGAATGGATCGTCCAGAGACAGTGTTAACATGAGGGGCTGAATGGCCTCTTTTTGTGTGGTAACAATTCCTATATTGTACAACTTTGTACACAATTTATACTTGAGTACATATTTTTGACGTACAGATTTGACGTCCTTTCTTGCAGAGTTGCCTCACAGTCAAGTACAGATTTTCTTTCCTCCCTCCTGTGTCCCCCAGAACCTCTTTCATTTAGTCCATAGCCTGCATGACCTACCCTTCTCTCAATTCTCAACAATGGCCTATATTAAATTGTGTGTTGTCTGCCCACTGGCAGCATTTATCAGTTGCCTGAGCCAGACAACTCCTGATTTGTAACTGCTCCAAATTTCAAAAAAAAAGTTATTGATTTAACAAAAGCCCATCAAGATGCACCTTATAATACCACCCTCATTAAATTTTCAAAATCTTTGATCAGCAGCCAATCTTGATATTGATCCATGCTTGTGAATTTTAAGCGTTATATCCTTCCTTTCTCCTGAATGCCTTACAATATTAGCAACCCAAAATTGTTGACACCAAATAGCAGAATAGGGTCAGGGGGACTGAACGGTGTATTCCTTCTCTAAATGCCTTTATCTTCGACCACAATCCCATTAATTCTTCAGCAGTCATCATTCCCATGCATTCACTTAAAATCAGACAGCTGCTTCGTAGTACATAACTGAAGCATTACTGGGAAAAAAAGCTGTTGAAGCTTTCCACTCGGAGTGCAGAATATTTGGCAATACCACTAAATTTCAAAGAGAACAATTTTTTTCCTGCAGAAGGGTACATAGACCGTAACAGCGCAGTACTGGCCCTTCGGCCCTCGATGTTGCGCCGACCTGTGAAACCAATCTGAAGCCCATCTAACTTACACTATTCCATTATCATCCACATGTTTATCCAATGACCATTTAAATGCCCTTAAAGTTGGCGAGTCTACTATTTTTGCAGGCAGGGCATTCCACGCCCTTACTACTCTCTGAGTAAAGAACCTACCTCTGACATCTGTCCTATATCTATCACCCCTCAATTTAAAGCTATGTCCCCTCGTGCTAGCCATCACCATCCGAGGAAAAAGGCTCCCACTGTCCACCCTATCTAATCCTCTGATCATCTTGTATGTCTCTATCAAGTCACCTCTTAACCTTCTTCTCTCTAACGAAAACAGCCTCAAGTCCCTCAGCCTTTCCTCATAAGACCTTCCCTCCATACCAGGCAACATCCTGATAAATCTCCTCTGCACCCTTTCCAAGGCTTCCACATCCTTCCTATAATGCGGTGACCAGAACTGTACGCGATCCTCCAAGTGCGGCCGCGCCAGAGTTTCGTATAGCTGCAACATGACCTCATGGCTCTGAAACTCAATCCCTCTACCAATAAAACCTAACGCACCCTACGCCTTCTTAACAACACTATCAACCTGGGTGGCAACTTTCAGTGATCTATGCACATGGACACCGAGATTTCTCTACTCATCCACACTACCAAGAATCTTACCATTAGCCCAGTACTCTGTATTCCTGTTACTCCTTCCAAAGTAAATCACCTCACACTTTTCTGCATTAAACTCCATTTGCCACCTCTCAGCCCAGCTCTGCAACTTATCTATGTCCCTCTGTAACCTGCAACATCCTTCCGCACTATCCACAACTCCACCGACTTTGGTGTCATCTGCAAATTTACTAACCCACGGATTAGTCAAGGAGTTCAGAGAGTGCAGTACGGAAATTATCCCCCAAGCTTTGGTTTAAATTAAAAAGGAGCAATGTCTGCACCTGCAGAGAACAAGACCTTGTGTAAAAATGTAGGCAGCTTCTTGCAACTGAATTATACAAATTGCAAGATACAATAAAGTCAATTAAGATTAATTGTTAGCTCACTCTGGATTGTTCAATAGGTGTTGCCCAATCCCAGAATATGCAATGCTGGACATGATTTTAGGAGTTTTGTAAGCCCACACTGGTTGAATACAGTAAAAAAAAAATCAGTTAAGAATTTTCCACCCTCACGTTTATCTT